CTTCCTTCCTTCCTTCCTTCCTTCCTTCCTTCCTTTCCTTCCTTTCCTTTCTTTCTTGACATGGTCTTACGGCCTTGCTCTGTCTCCCAAGCTGGAGTGCAGTGGCATGATCATAACTAACTGCAACCTCAAATGTCTGGCACAAGCAATCCTTCTGCCTCAGCCTCCCAAGTAGCTGGGACTATAGACATGGGCTACCATGCCCAGCTAAGTTTTTATTTTTTTATTTTTTGTAGAAATGAGATCTCACTATGTTGCCCAGGCTAGTCTTGAACTTCTGGTCTCAAGCAGTCCTCTTGCCTCAGCCTCCCAAAGTGCTAGGATTACAGGCATGAGCCACCATGCCTGGCCTACATTTTCTTTGGGTTGATTTTACTTTTCTTTTTCTAACTTCATGAGACTAATTTTATTAATTTCAGCTTTTCTTCTTTTCTAATATGTTCATTTAAGCCTGTCATTTTCCTCCAGGTACTGCTACATCTCACAGTTTTTGATATGTAGTATTTCCATTATTGGTCTTTTATTTAACAACCACAAGTGCCTACTCTATACCAGACACTGAACTAGATGCTAAGAGTTCAGAGAATACAAAACACATTACTAGCATTTAATGACCTCAGAGTGTAGGTGCAAAGATAGATACGTACACAGGTAGTTATTATGTAACAATATGATATGTGTTGTATTTGAGATACGTAAATACAAGAGACTGTCGCAGAACAAATTCTGCCTCATGGAGTCAAGGAAGGCTTCATGGGCTAGGTGGGGTGAAATTTTATCCATCCATCCTTACTTAACAAACATTTGTTGCCCGTCTCTTCTATAGGTGCTGGAGCTATGACTGAGTGTTAAAAAATGTAAAAAAGATAGGCGAATGGGACAAAGTGGGGTCAGGATCTTTGAAGAAGAGGTAGCAGTCTGTGCAAAGGCCCAGAGGCACAGGGGCATGGAAATGCATGATGAAACTGGAGTGATAGAGTGGCCAGTTCACCATGGGCTTTGTGTGCTATAGAAAGGTGTTTAGATTTTTGATTTTTGGTTGGAAATGAGAAGCCACTGTGGAACTTAAAGCAAAGATAAACATGTTTTTAATTTAGAGATATTCTGGCAATAGAATAAATATCTGAGGCAGAAAGATAAGTTAAGAGGCTTTTAGACTAGGTTCAAAGCAAGAAGGACAGTAAATATGGAGAAGTGGGGGTAGATTCAAGAGCTACCTAGGAGCTAGAATCAGCAGGACTGAAAGATCCTAGGGAGTGAAAAAAGAGGCCTAAAGGATCACTTCCAAGTTTCTGGCTTGTGCGACTGCATGAATGGATGGTCGTGCCATTGGCTGGGCTAAAGAATATGAAAGGGCCATAGGCTTTGGCAGAGGAGTTACAAGTTTGGTTTTGGATAGGCTGAGCTTTCCAAAGAAAGTGCTAGCCAAGAGCATCTGGTCTAAGGAAGCAGGAATAAGCAGAGGAGCATTTCTGGAAGTTGAAAGAGGATCAGTGCCACAGCTAGCCTATATGGTGCCTTTGTACAAATTATAAAAAGTGCCTCTTCTGAGCAGACCAGTTATTATAGAAAAAGGCAATCTTTCTTCACAGTAGGCTCAGCCACATGGCTTAGCAAGAAGCCCAGGCTGGATTTCAGCCCCAGTTCACCCCCTTTGGCTGGGCATCTATACAATGTACAAATTGCACAACCATGCACAGGAGCTTTGGGTCTTTTTTGGGCTTGGGGACATCCCTAGGGGACAATCCGTTGTTCACCAGTAGAAAAAGGATGCAAGAAACTGGAGTTGGCTGGGGGCTTGGTCAGGAAAGGAATCTAGTAATTACTGGAAGGTTTAGTGGTCAGACCTATTTCCAGTGGATTACTTTCAATCTCTTTTCCCATCTGTGAAAGAGGTTACTGTGAGCCCTCCCTATCACCTCAAGGCATCACGAGGACTAAAGGAGGGCATGTGTATGAAATCTCTGAGGCATCTCTGCACCCCTAGTTTCTGGCATCAGACATGGCACACAGGTGGTACCACTAAGTGGTAAAAGGAATGGTGAAGGTAAAATGGTGTATGATGGTAAACTGTGAAGACTATACTTTTTATGTGTTATGACTAGTGAGACTATCCAGATGATACAGGCCCAGGGAGGGAAGTTGGGGTAGTACAGTAAAAGATGGTAGATAGAGAGGGTGTGCTGGTCAGAGGTGCCTGCTGTGGCCTGGGGGTCTTGAGCTTGGCCATGTTGGAGTATGGCTAAGGGAAAGTGAACTCAGAACTGAAGCACCAAGGAGCAGCAGAGATGCCTGAGATGAGAACTCTGGCAAGTAGTCAGCCCCTTAGCTTATGTGATGGTTTGGGAAGAGTGAAACAAAGAAGAATGTCATCCGGGGAAGAAGAAATGGATATTGGGAAGGGCTTGGTGATAGTGGTGATTTGAAAAAAGTAAAAAGGTATCATGCAGGGTGATGTGGAATCCCAGTGGGAAAACAGCAAGGCGATGCTAACCTGGCATCCTGAAGTCTACTCTCTCTTCTCTTTTCCCTGCTCAGTAATGATGGATGAAGACCGAATGGGAGAACTAGAGGGTTTCTTGAGGGAACGTAGTATGTGATATGTTCTAAGGGACAATCCAGGTTTCACTCAGGACAGAGGATAGTCAGAAGAGATGTGCTCTAGATTGGTGTGTCTCTGAGAGAGTTTGATGGCTCATTTGATCAGTTGATGAACAAAATACTTGCTTTGGGCCAACTGGATCAGGTAGTTGGGATCTCAAGGTTTGGTACAGTGACAAGGAATTTAGGTAGCTGTAAGACAGATGTTTCTAGCCACTTAGATTTCAACAAAGGAAAAGAGCATCTTTCTGAGAGACAAACTACTCTAAGCCTGAGGGATCCAGGGCACTAGCCAAGTGGTAACCAGAGTGAGGCAGAGCTAGACTCCAAATCAGGCAGACTTAGTGAAGACCCAGGAAGGACCAGTAACACGAATGTATTTCGTAAGGATCTTTTATACATAGCCTCATATAGCCACCTAATCTTTGACAAAGCAGACAAAAACATACACTGGGGAAAAGAATCCTCATTCAATAAATGGTGCTGGGAAAACTGGATAGCCACATGTAGAAGACTGAAGCAGGATCCACACCTTTCACCTCTCACAAAAATCAACTCATGGTGGGTAACAGATTTAAACCTAAGGAGTGAAACTATTAGAATTCTAGAGGAGGATGTTGGAAATACTCTTCTAGACATTGGCCTAGGCAAAGAATTTATGAAGAAGACCCCAATCACAGCAACAACTAAAATAAATAAATGGGACCTGACCAAATTGAAAAGCTTCTGCACAGCCAAAGAAACTGTCACAAGAGCAAACAGACAACCTACAGAATGGGAGAAAATTTTTGCATAGCATTTCTTAATCATCATAATGGCCCTCTGTGGTAGATGAAATTATCTGCATTTTACAGGTGACAAAGTAGAGACATAGAAGTTTCCAGAAGAAGCTGGAGCTATTTACCTGAGTGATACCAATTGATTCTTTTGAGTTATTGCCTCTTTGGTTATCTGTGGCCTTTAGTTGAAGGCAGCTCAGGCTGACCTGGTCACCATACTTTACATATAACTGTCTACTCCAGCCTTTAAAGGGTGTTTGCCTTTGTGTTGGAAGCTAGGACTCCATCTCAGGCTAACTGAAGGTTCTGTGGGGGGAATTCATTTCCCCTCCCCAGGATCCTGAGACTCCGAGGTATGGGCAGGACCTTGGCTGTAGGTCCTGACCATAATGTGTGCACCTGAGTGTGTGTGTGTGCACAGTGTGTGTGTGTCTGGAAGGACTGCGCAATCAGTCTGTCCACTGTGGGAGCCCACCAAGTACACATATATGCATTTGTGTATGTTTCTGTATGTGCCCATAAGTGTTCAGAGGAAGAAGAATTGAATTTCTCTGTGTCTTTTCTCCTCCATTTCTTCCGCTTTGTTTTCTCTCTCATTTCTCTTTTTCCTCCTATTTGAGCTTAGGTGGCACTGTGATTAAGTCCTCGGTACAGACTTGTCACTCAGCTTTGTCCTGTGTTACTTCTCAAAGGGCAGGATCTCTCTGTGGCTGAGACTTTGTAACCTCAGTTAGTCGCTGTGTGATCCAAAGTACTGCTGACAGTGGCCCAGGGTTGGGGGAGGGACGGGCGGAATTGGGGATATCCTCACCTGAGACTGAGCCTCACCTCAGGTCTGAGCCCCTGTGTCTGGCACCATCATGGCTGTGTGGGACCAGAGGGTACGTGTTACAAAAGACAAAGGTTTGTTTTGGAGGTTAAGGTAGAAGGCCGAGGTGGGAGGATCATTTGAGGCCAGGAGTTCAAGACTGTAGTGAGCTGTGATTGTGCCACTGTACTCCAGCCAGGGTGACAGAGCGAGACCCTATCTATAAAAAAAAAAGAATTTGGTCAGGGAAATTAAGGAAAGTCATACATCAGCTTGTCTGTCTCCTCTCCACAGCGACAGGTGAGAAGAAGGAAGGCTGGTCATGGGAGTCCTACCTAGAGGAGCAGAAGGCCATCACTGCCCCAGTCAGCCTCTTCCAGGACGTGAGTTGCACGATTTCCACATAGGAAGAGCTTATCTTCCTAGTCCAGGGACTTACCACCGAACTTAGGCCTTCTAGTGTGTTCTATGTCTGACATTCCTCAATGGACTGGCAAAATGGAAGAGGGAGAGACTGGTTAGGGCCCAGAATGGACAAGGGCCTGCCATAAGAGGCTGCCATGGTAGGAAGAAATAGGGAGATGGAACCCAGGCTTAACCACATCACTGGGCCTGCAGACCCGTAGACTGTTGAATCCTGGTGCCTTCAACTCAACTCAATTCAGCACTGAACTTCCCATGACTTGGGCAAGAGAGAGCCCTTGAGTCCAGCCCTGACTCAGCCCACATTTTTCAAGGGACCTGGGAGCTATTCTGGTCCTCCCTGGCTCCCTGCAGTAAAGATCCCCAAATAAGTTGCCCCCGTGGTAATACCAGGCGGGTGGGGCCTAAAGGCAGCTCCTTCACCCCAAGCCCACTAGGCAAGGCTAAGGCTGGATGGAAGCTGGGTCCTCTCCACTCTGTGCGTTGACAGTCCCAGGCAGTCACTCATAACAAGAATGGCTTCAAACTGGGGATGAAGTTGGAAGGCATTGACCCTCAGCACCCGTCCATGTATTTCATTCTCACCGTGGCTGAGGTAAGTTGGGGCATGGTACCACCTTGCTAATGATGGCTCTCAGGGTAGAGCGATGGAGCCTGCTGGGGACAGGGAGGGAGGCACTGCCCTGCCCTCAGAGCATACACAGTCTAGTAGGAGGTTAAGTTGGAACACACAGAAAGCTTAAAAAAAAGAACAAAAACCAGACGAAGTGTTAGGGGATGGTGCTGTTACTGAATGAGTATATGCTGTCCATGCTGGGAGCCCTTGAGGAAATCCAAGGGCCAGGGACGTTGGCATGAGTCAAACAAGGTCTTTGTCCTCTAGGAGCTCACAGATAAACGTCAGTGACATGCCACAGGGGTGGTGACAGACACGAGCAGGGTGGCACAGGGAAAGAGTGTCAGTTCTACCTGAGGGGACAAGGAAAGCTTAGAGGAAGGGCCGCCTTTGCTGAGTCCTGGGAGAGGAGTTGTGATGAGGAGGGACTTCCAGGCAGAAGAAGCAAAGTAAGCGGAGACTCTGGGGCACAGAACAGACCGCCACATTCAAGGAATTGCTGTTAGCTCAGCAAGACCAAAGCAGAGCGTGTGAGTGGGGGACAGTGGTAGGAGGAAAGGTCATCAAGGTCCTGAGCTGTGGTGAGTGCCCTTAAAGTTCTATCCAGGGCTCAAAGGGCAAGAGGATGTCCTAGAGTCCACCTCTCTTGCACCCAGCACTCAGTGCTCATGAGTACGTGAACTATCTCACTGCAGAATACAGAGTGTGGGGCAGAGTTCAGGATGCGGAAACCTGGGGGCAAAGAAAGGTGGGATTGGGAAACCTGCTAGAGCCCCTGAGACCAGGAGGCTGGGCCGGGGGAGGTGGAAAACAGGACGTGGGGCAACTGCTGACATTGGAGTCCCTGTGATTCCCCTCATGGGGCCAGGTGTGTGGCTATCGCCTACGTCTGCACTTTGATGGGTATTCCGAGTGCCATGACTTCTGGGTCAATGCCAACTCCCCTGACATTCACCCTGCTGGCTGGTTTGAGAAGACTGGGCACAAGCTGCAGCCTCCCAAAGGTAAGGCCTAGCTGGGTTGGTCACGGTGAAGCAGTGAGTCCTCAGACTCGTTCCTTCTTCCCCTTGGGTCCCTGCTTCTAGCTCTTGGGTTTTCTCACCCTGTACCCTGTTCCAAAGCCAGCCTCTCTTTATTGCACCTTGATATGACTCTGCCCCAGGGCCAAGTTGGCTAGAAGCCCCAGGGCTTCTGCTTTGCCCTTGCCTTTGAGTGTCCACCCAGGTCAGGTCCTGCTTTGGCAGGGGGTCCCTGGGCAAATTCTTGAGGGTTGTGGGGTCCTCAGGCCTGCCTGATTCTGCTGCTTCAGTGTGGGGTGCCCTCACCATGGCCCAGCCTCTGCACAGCGCTCTGTTCATCCCCCCCGAGGGGCCTAGGTTACAAGGAGGAGGAGTTCAGCTGGAGCCAGTACCTGCGCAGCACAAGAGCTCAGGCTGCCCCCAAGCACCTGTTTGTGAGCCAGAGCCACGTGAGTGCCCCCAAGTGAGAGTGGACATCACCCTCTGGGCCAGGGCTATTGCAGCTGGCCCAGGGTACCTGACGTATCAGAAGAGAGCTTGTCCCCTTGTTCTCTCAGCTTTGTTCTGGTCTCTCATATCAGATGGGAGAGGCACAGCTGGGCAGAGCCCAGGGCCAGAGGTGGAAGCTGGTCGTAGATGTTCCCCCATTTCCCTCCTTCCTTCCCTACTGTGGAAATCCTCTCCTGCACATACCCCTTGGAGCCCCTGGGCCAGTGCCTCAGCGTGGCACTGAGCTGTTGTTGCTCAAATATTCTTGCTTTGGTTCACTCTGCATTTCTTTGGTATAAAGTCAAAGACTTTGTTCTGGAAGCTTCTTTCTTCTCCCTTTTGACACAAGTTGGGGCTCTTCCGTTCATTCCCAACTCCTGGGGCTCTTCCATTCATTCCCAACTACTCACTCCTTGTCCTTTCCTCTGTTCAAGGAAGCTGCCAGCTTATCCAGCAGTTAAAGTATGTCACATAACCCCAAGAAAAGGTCAGAGATGTAGGGAACCCCCATTAAAAATATTACCATATTGAAGGTGCAGGGTCCCCATGGGCTGGGGACTCCACCATGCAGGGGAGGGACAGTTCAGGCAGGGACAGTTATTCCCCAACTCATTCCAGCCCCAGAGTCCATACTTGAAGGTTCCCAGGGAACAGGTGGAGTCCCACCTGCTGTTGTGACAGGGAATGCAGCTTTTTAAGTCAAACTGTTTAAATCCCGGCCCCGCCATTGACTACTAGCATTGTGTTCCAGGTTAAGTTATTTAGTTTCTAAATTGAGAATAGCAACACCTATGTAGTAGGATTGTTGTAAAGGTCAAGGGAACTTCTGCCTGCTACATGGCAGGTGTCCAGTTTATGCTGGTTTCCTCCCCACTCATGCCATAGGTGTCAGCCCTTCCCCACCACCACACTATTGCCACAGCTACCTTAGGCCAGGCTAGGCCAGGCTTGTCCAGGTAGGGAAGACTTGTATTTGGCCTGCCAGATTCTCTGGGCGAATGTATTACCTCCTACCAGGCACTCACCTTCTGCCACAAGTCAGGCCTCCTCTGAGTGCATCTTGGAGGCCAGAAGTTCCTGAGTGGCTCAGAGCTCAGGTTACGATTCTGCATTGGAGGGACCCTCTTTCCCAGCCTATTTCTCCCTCCTCCCCCTCTTCCCAGCCCTGAGGCCATCCTCCTCGGGAACCTACTTGTTTGCCAGTGGGCTCTGGGCTAGTGCTAGCCAGCTTAGCCCTGGCCATGGCAGCCCCTCTTCTTGCCCATAGAGCCCCCCACCCCTGGGCTTCCAGGTGGGCATGAAGCTGGAGGCTGTTGACCGCATGAACCCGTCCCTCGTCTGTGTGGCCAGTGTGACCGACGTGGTGGACAACCGCTTCTTGGTGCACTTTGACAACTGGGATGATACTTACGACTACTGGTAGTGGGAGGGCCCAATGGCCTGGGGGTGGGGGACAGGGGCAGCTGCTGTCACACCTCAGGCACCATGTGGCCCACTTGGTCCCATCCCAACATGCAGATCTTGCTTAGGGTGGGGGATAATGGATTTGAACTGTATCAGGAGAAACATGCTCGGTATTAAATGTTTCATCTAAAAATACCGTGGTTAAGATGAGCAAACCCCTGTGATTCATGATTTTCCCTTAGATATTATGGTAGTGTTAGAGTTTTTAGTTAATGTTGCAGTGTTCTAACTTTGTCATCAGCCATCTGTCTCCCTCTCACTAAGAAATGGGATGAGGGTGGGCCCTGAGCCATGCTGTCAGAGGACAGCAGGCTCAGGACTTTAAAGTTTCTCTTGGGACAGTGACGTATTCTTGGGTTTCAGGTGTGATCCCAGCAGCCCCTATATCCACCCGGTGGGCTGGTGCCAGAAGCAAGGAAAGCCCCTTACCCCTCCACAAGGTGACTCTGCAGGCTGAGCAAGGCTCTCTCCCGGGCCTGGTCCCCTTCCCGTTCCCCCGATATCTTACCAGTGCCTCATGAGCTGGCTCTTAGGGTCAGGGTGAGAGGACAGATATGCCCTGGAGCCTCAGCTTTGATTTAGGAGAGTCTTGCCAAACCCTGACTGTGTTGAAGTGTAGGGGAAGAAAGTTAGATAACCATCTCAGCAAGGGAGCAAGGAGTCTAAATCGAAGAAAATGTGTCTTTCTTCCCGGGAGTATTACACTGGCCCGAGTGCAATCAAGGTTCAGATGGGGCTGGAGTGGGAGCAGCAGGCCAAGGGTGACAGGAGCCAGAGTCCCCAGATCACCTGTTGTGGTGGTGCTCTGTGTGGTTCTGCCTAGTACCCATCTGCCTCAGGAGCCCAGTGTAAGGATTTGGCCGAGGGGATGTGGGGGGAGATTCTACTCCCAGGGCCTCTGCCCCTTCTATGTTCCTGGTCCTGCATAAGGGGCAGGGAGCTCCCCCAGTACACCCAGATGGCTGAATGTTGCTCTCATCCTCTCTTCCAGACTACCCAGACCCTGACAGCTTCTGTTGGGAGAAATATCTGGAAGAAACTGGGGCCTCCGCTGTGCCCACCTGGGCCTTCAAGGTGGTGAGTCAGCACTCTGTCCCCTAGAGCTGAGCTCAGGAAGATATGGAATACTCGGCCAGCTAGGGTGGGGCCCGAGCCTCCCACTTTGAGCAGGCCACAATTTCCTCAGGCACAGCACTTGGGCTCCCTTCGCAGGGCCTCAGCTCTGCTGGGCTGGGCCTTGGCCTGAAGGCACCTGTCCCCTGCAGCGACCCCCTCACAGCTTCCTGGTCAACATGAAGCTGGAGGCTGTGGACCGCAGGAACCCAGCCCTGATCCGTGTGGCCAGCGTGGAAGATGTGGAGGACCATCGGATAAAGGTGGCTTGGGAACCCTAGGGCTAGGGGAGTGGACAGACCAGTTGGGCAGGAATCCTGTAAACTGGTTAGAGGTCAAGAGCATGGCATGACACAGGCGAGCCCGAAGAGCTTGGATCTCATTCTCACCTCATCTGTGACTTATTTTTGCGGGCTTGGACCCATTTCTGAACCTTAACCTTCTCATCTGTGAAATGGGTCTAATAATCCTTGTCCCACCCAAGGATTGATGGCAGATGCCAGTAACTTAATGAGCGAAGCCCTTGGAAAATGTGGTGGCCGATTACTGTAGTGTTGGCTCCTTGATTCTTTCAATCTAGGATCTTGCTTCTGACAGGCCCTGGGGATGGGGAGAGCCTCCTGGAGCCTAGAGGACCTCCTGGCTAAGCTGGGCTCTATGAGGAACACCTGACCTCCAAGGACATTTCTCCCCAGCTCCATTTTGATGGCTGGAGTCATGGCTATGATTTCTGGATCGACGCTGACCACCCAGACATCCACCCTGCGGGCTGGTGCTCCAAGACAGGACATCCCTTGCAGCCTCCTCTCCGTGTGTACCCCTAGGGCACTCTGACCCTTTCCCTTCCCCCCAAGCTCTGATAACCCTCCCTTCCTATAGCTTGCCCAGGAGGCTCTGACACTCCTGCCCAGGTATGACACAGGGCTCTGGTGGCCACCATGAGCTCTGGGATCCCCCATCCTCCCCACCCCAGAACTGTCTGCTATACTAAGTAGTGCTTCTGGCTACCCTAGTTGTTGGGTTTGGAATACTGAGGAGTGAAGGGGCAAGCTCACGTGGTTGCATGTGCTTAGGGGGTAGTTATACACCCGGGGCTTTCTCTCAGCATCTGGCAGAGCTACACCAAGCATGCGTTGTGTTTGCTAAGGAAATACTGGCTTCCTTGAGTAAAATTCTGGTCCTCTACACAGGCAGGGGTCAGAGTTCAGGTCATTGGACTACTCAGACCCATTCTCACCCTCAGGAATCCCCTTATTTCCCTGCTGCCACCAGGTCTGTCTCACATGGGGCGTTTGTTGATCCTTCTTGAATGTTCTCCTCCAAGCATGGGCAGAGCCTTAAACAAGTTACCAAAGCCTTGGAGATGAAAACAGGGAAAAGAACTGACGATAAAACAAATCTGCCTGATGTGGCTTCTAAGGGACAAATATGCCCACACCATCTCTGCATTGATTTTTTTTCTTGAGGGTTCTCCTGTCAGAGACTGAAGGCATGGCCTATAGGTTTCATCAAAGCACATGAGAGCCAACCCCTCCTTTCCCAAAGAGGGGCAGGTATCTAGGAACAGAAAGTGATATCACAGCCTAGCTTAGGACCCCCATCCCTGGGGAACTAGTTCCTTGTGCTGATCTCCCCCATGGAAACTGTTCCTTCCCTGCCCTTCCTCATCCCCAGGACTTTATGCTGACCGTTTTCTTTCTGTACTTCCAGCCCCCAGAGAGTCCAGCTCTGCCTGCCCTGGGAGCTGTCCCCCTCTTAGCTATCGGAACCTGCCCAACACTAAGACCTCCAAATATAGCTTTCACCACCGGTGAGTGAAGGGCTCCTGCTGAGAGGAGTTTTGCTTAGTTGTTGTTCAAGGAAGGTCTGTTTTGTACCTATTGTGCACAGCTGGTTGGGGTTCACCAAGACACCTCCAGATGGGGCCAGGATTGGGGAGGCCTCAGTGGGGGTGGATTCAGCCCAACTTAAGCCTTCTTTTTCCCCAGGAAGTGCCCCACTCCTGGTTGTGATGGCTCTGGCCATGTCACAGGCAAGTTCACAGCTCACCACTGCCTGTCGGGCTGCCCACTGGCCGAGAGGAACCAGAGCCGGCTGAAAGCAGAGCTGTCTGACACAGAGGCCTCAGCCCGCAAGAGGAATCTCTCAGGCCTGTCCCCTAGGAAGAAGCCTCGCCATCACGGCCGGTATGAAAGCCAGGGAGTCAGGGCCTGGGCTTCCTGGGTGTGGGGCCTTGTGTCATCTTGGGCCAGGCCAGGCAGATTCCTTGTGATGGACCTGGTCCCTCTCTCTCCAGAATTGGACGCCCTCCCAAGTTTCGGAAGATTCCGCAGGAAGATTTCCAGAGTAAGTTCAGGTCATCTCTTCCCATGTCCTACACAAAGTATTCACAGTGAGTGCTCTAATTGGTGGGATGAGACTCCAGGGTTGCCCAGAGTGGGAGAAGCTAGAAGGAAGGCAGCCTCTCTGTTTGAGGTCCTTTGGAAGCATAGAGCAGTGGCAAGAGCACAGGAAGGGGCCTTAAGGACCCGTGGGTTCCAGTCTTTCTTCCCCCTGGTGAGAGTCAGTGGAAAGGCACAGAGCCTCTTTGGGCCTCTGGGTCTCCACTGTCAGGCAGGATGATGCCCTTGGCTGTGCTCTTCCCTGATTCTAGGATTCTTGGGAAGGAGGCCAATGCTGTCACTTTCTACCTGTGTGACCTTGAGCAAGCCACATAACATCTCTAAGCCTCAGTTTCCTCACTTGAAAACATGGGTAAAACCTGCCTTTCAGATGTCAGTACCCGAAATAATAGTGGTTACTACTACCATTTACTGAGCACCTACTATGAGCCAGGCACTGTGCCAGGTGCTTTACATGTACTGTCTCTAATGCTCACAAGCATCCTATAAGAAGGATATTGTTCTCTTCTTCTGAGAGAGGAGGAATGTGAGGCTCAGAGGGTCAAGTCATTTGTCCAGGGTCATTAACCTTGTGAGGGGCAGAGCTGGGATTCATACTCTGATCTGATCTGACTTCTCCTACTACATGCTGCTGGTATAATAGACATAAAGCAACTAACCCAAATGTCAGTTCACTCCTCAACCCCCTTATGTTAGTTTGCTAGGGCTGCCATAACAAAATGCCTCAGACTGGGTGGCTTAAGCAATGGAAATTTGTTTTTCACAGTTGTGGAGACTAGAAGTCTAAGATCAAGTTGTCGGCAGATTTGGTTTCTTCTGAGGCCTCTTTTGGCTTGCAGGTGCCTGCCTTCTTGCTGTGTTCTGACATGGTCTTGGCTCTGTGTGCAAGCATCCCTGGTATCTCATTGTATGTCCAAGTGTCTCTTTTTATAAGGACAGCATTAAGATTGGATTAGAGCCCATCCTAATGATGTGATTTTAACTTAATTACCTCTTTAAAGGCCCTTTCTTCAAATACTGAGGTACTGGGGCTTAGGACTTCAGCATATTAATTTAGGAGGGGACACAGTTCAGCCCATCATGTGCTTCAAGGGTAGGGACAGAGTTACTGAGCTCTCCGATGAGTGGCAAATTTATTTCACGTCTTCAGCCACCAGTATAGGGCCTGATACACAGCAAGGAAGCTGGCAATCTTGCCGCAGTTGAATTGAGTGCTTGTCATTTTAAGGCTAGAAGAGACCTTGAGAAAGCACCTGGGTCAGTGCCCTTGGGCAGGACCCAGACTGTTCCAGTTCTTCTTCAGGAACAGTTTCTGTAACCTGGGCAGTGTGTAAGCTAGTGATTAAAAGCACAGCCCTGAAGTCAGACTGCCTTTGTACAGGATGTGTGACCTTGGGCAGGTGATACCACTCTCTGAGCCTCAGCTTCCTCATCTGTAAACTGCCAATGAGAACAGTACCCACCTCGTGGTGTGGTGAGAGGCTTCAGTGCGGTGATCCGTGGAAAGTGCTTAGCACAGCTCCCTGCTGGTGTTATTAGTCTGAATCTCTTGCCTGACTCCCGTTTGCTGTTCCATACTCTCTCCTCTTGGTGGAAACAGGAGCAATTTCTGCAGCCTCAGGCCTGAGCGATGAGGGTTTCGGCTGGCCCCCTAGGCCCTCAGAGTGAGGACTTCTGAGGATCAAACTGCAGCGGGCACTTCTACCTGCCCCTGGTACACCTTGTCACTTCCATTGCAGGACTAAGTTCTGACCATCAGAGGGCACTTGCTTACTGTGTTCATCCCAAAATTATGCCATGGAATTCTTGGGAAGTTATGACTTGCCAGAGGCTGAGCCTGTGGCCCGGAGAGGGAGAGGAAAGACTGACCCAGAGCTTCAAGGACAGAGCAAGGGACACAGCCCAGGTCTCCGATCTCTGTGCAGGGCTCCTCTACCCAACCAACGGGCCTCTTGCACAGAAGGAACATGGGTCACTTTGGGTTTTGTTCTGGAGGCAGCTTCTCATGCACCCCTGGGTAGACCTCAGTGTAGGCTCTGGGGTTTGCGGGTGAGCAGCTCCATGAGGAGGGCTGCCTGAAGAGGACAGGATTTGGCTGGGCTTAGTCTTTAGGCCCCAGGAGTGTCAGCTGCTGAAAGGAAACAGAGCAACCGTTTCTGACCTACAGCTAGATGGTCTGCAGTGGGGGCAGCAGGGAGGCACAGCCACAGGAGAGGAGTGGTCGGTGGGGCTGGAGATGGAATCCCAGAGGCTTTGCAGGTGAGCGTGAGGGGCAGAAGAGCCAGACTGAAAGGCTGTGACACTAAGGGGAAAGGGCAGAACAGTCTGACCAGCAGGGAGGGTCTTTGAGGAGAAGGCGCTGGAGGTGCTGCATTTACAAGCTTCTGGAGTCAGTACGAAGAGGATAAGAAAGAACAAGCTCTCCTGGACTGTGGGCAGAGGCTGGGCAAGCCCCATGGGAGAGTGGCACTGTTGCCAAAGGCCAGCCAAGGCTGGTAGAGGTGGGTAGGGCTGAGAATGTCAGAGTAATCAGACATGGTTGAAGTGCAAGCCACCAAGTGCCAGGCCTGGCCAAGGAGGAGGCCCCGCTGAGCTGAGTCAGCAGCTTTGTAGAGCCACTTGAGGCCAGAGGTAGGAGCCAGGGATCCCAGAAGCAGATCAAGAAGCAAAGCAACAGGCATCGTGGAGTTGGGGTGGTGGGGTGGGTCTAGGGGACCCTCTAGTGCTAGAGGGGTGGTAGTGCAGACCAGACTGGTGGAGGAGGGGGGAGGAACTGAAGCTTGGGGCAGTGGCAGTGGCTAGAGGGACGGGCTTCAGACTGGTCAGGGTGACTGTGATTCTGACACAGAATCACCGTGGCTCTGAGCAAGTTGGTTGGGGCCCCAAAGGATTTAGGAAAAGAAGGGCAAACAATGGACTTCTGACCTTGGGGCTGAGCTTGTTTGGCTGTTGGGGACAATTTTGATGCATGATATCTAAAGAATGATGTCTTTAGAGATGCTGCAGCAGCTCCAAGAGAGCATCCTTGTAGAGCCCCGAGTGGTATAGCCTCAGAGAGAAGGGGTTGAGGGTCATTCCAAATAGCTGACCTGAGAGTGTATAAAGTAAGGGACCCACTTGACCAGAAGGAGCAAGTACCGAGTGGGGAGTCAGGAGTGCAGCTCACCCTCTTGGCTCTGCAGACTATCAGCAGGGCCCATGGTCCTGTCTGCCCTTCCAGCCAGTCTCCTGAGTGGCCTGGGTGTGAGCAGGCTTCAGACGCCAGGTTAGTTCTCAGCATCAGCCCGCCAGCCTCTGCCTCTACTTTCCAGCACTCACCCCTGGTGTCATGCAACAGTCCCTCTTCATGTCTGCCTTGTCTGCCCACCCTGACCGCTCACTCTCAGTGTGCTGGGAGCAGCACTGCAAGCTCCTGCCAGGAGTGGCAGGTATCTCAGCCTCGACAGTCACCAAGTGGACCATCGATGAGGTGAGGAACAAGGGGACCTTCCTTGTCCTTCTCCCCTCCTTCTCCACTCCTTCTCCCTTTCACCCCACCCTGATGGGAGGGCCCAGGAAAGGCTCTGGTCAAGTAGGGCCCAGTCTCACTCCTGACACTACCTGCCATGTGTCCCTCCTGTCCACAGTCCCTTTGGGCTGCCCAGTGGGGCTGACTGAGACACTGCCCAATAGGCCCACCGTGGTGGGTGGGGATGAGGCCATGCTGCTAGTCCAGTCAGATGTCCAGCAGGAGAGGCAGGCTTCAGTCCTGGGCCTCGGGAGCAAGGGGCCCCACCTTGCACATCTGCCTGCACAGAGACCCAAGGATCCTCATAGGCAGACAAGAAAAGGCCGCACTGGCACAGCCCAGAAGGCACCCAGACCGTGTAGGCCAGCCCCACACTCCCAAACCCTGTCCTCTGGTCAATGTGTCTTCTTTGGTTTCCAAGGTCTTCGGCTTTGTTCAGACCCTGACAGGTTGTGAGGACCAAGCACGTGTCTTCAAAGATGAGGTGAGGTGCAAGTGCAGAGTGGGAGATCGAGCCGGGGTCACTGTGTCCTTGAGATGGCAGGAAGCAGGTGCCCTCCTCAGCATTCCCCCAGCTAGGGAGGGACCCCTTTTGCCCCACCGGGCAAGACTAGACAGAGTGACCCACATCTCTGGGAAAAATCTGGTATGGACTGTGGCCCAGCTTGGGGACCCTGTGTGTTCAGATCATCTTCAGGAAGGAAAAAGCATTCTGGAGACAAGATTCCATTTACTCTTCTGCTCTCTGCCCAGTCCTTTGTTTGCCAAACTTAGCTTCATCAGCGATGCTCAAGAAATTAAAGTGTATTTTTTTCTCTAATCCAGTATGACTGATAATTAAAGCGTATTTTGAATGGTGCAAGTATTGCTATCACTGCAAGGATCCTGATACACACTTAAAATCAAGACCTGGGAGCTTAGTAAAGATAAGAAGTATGGCTGGGTGCGGTGGCTCACGCCTGTAATCCTAGCACTCTGGGAGGCCAAGGCAGGAGGATTGCTTGAGCTCAGGAGTTCAAGACCAGCCTGAGCAAGAGCGAGACCCCGTCTCTACAAAAAATAGAAAAATTAGCCATGCGTGGTGGTGCACACTTGTAGTCCCAGCTACTTGGGAGGCTGAGGCAGGAGGATCGCTTAAACCCAGGAGTTTGAGGTTGCAGTGAACTATGACACCACTGCACTATAGACAGGGTGACAGAGTGAGACTCTGTCTCAAAAAAAAAAAGTAGTGAGTTGTAGATAAATAAAGAACACCAACTTTGGAGACAGTCCAGGTTTGCATCCCAGGTTTGCCAATTTTAGCTGTTTATTGTCTCTAAGCCTGTATTTTCTTGTCTGTAAAATGGAGATAAAGTGGGTATAATGAAGTCTACCTTGCGGAGCCATTGTGAGCATTGGAAATGATGAATGAATCTCATACCAAAATTTCTAGTATAATTACAGTCATATCACTTAGTGATGAAGATATATGTTCTAAGAAATGCATTGTTAGGAAATTTTGTTGTGCAAACATCATACAGTAGGCTTATATAAACCTAGATGGCATATATATATATTGGGTTTTTTTTTGATATGGAAAACCAAATGTCCCAACATCAAGTTTTCCCCTACTTAATCTACAGTGCCCATATCAAATGCCACATATCAAGTTTCTGTATATGCTCCCTACTGTCATATATGCAGTCTGTCATTGACTGAAATGTCATCATGTGGCACATGACTTGTATATCACTAGTATATACATTATATATCAATATTATGGAGTAATACAGAAATCATTTCACTATACCAGAATGCCTGATACAGTGGGGGCACCGTAAGTGGTAGTTGTGACTTTTAATGCATAGTTGCCCTTAAATAAAGAACTTTATCATAACTCTCATTTGTAGAGTTTGAAACTGGAAGGAGCTTTGAGTTTGTTTAGGGCTTCCTTCCAAAGAATACAAACATCCCTCCTGAGCATCCCCCTTTACCCAGGAAACTGGTCTCAGCTGCCCATAGCTTCCCACTCCAGGTCAGGTGCCTGTAAGAAAGTAGCTGGCTTCTCTTTCCCTGGAAGAGGGTCTTTATCTAGGCCCAGCACACCCGGATTGTTCATTTAGTCCTTGTGTAGTGGAGATCCCAAACTCCTCATTCTGGGTCCTTCCTGGCCGTCTCTGTTGGTGACCTTCTTGTCTTCATGTGTGTGCCCAAAGCTGAACTGCCTGTTTCTGATGCCCTCTGGGCAACGTAGAACACATTGAGCTGCCACTGCACTAGATGTTTTTTAATTGAGATAAAATGTATGTAGAGTGAAATGCACACATCTTAAAAGTATAATTACACAAGTTTTATTGAAGGTGAACTCAACACTTTGATTGAGATATAAAACATTTCCATCATACCAGGAAGTTTTCTCACCCCTTTTAGTCAGTCACCACCCCAAAATACAACCACTGTTCTGGCTTCTAGCACTATATATTAACTTTGCCTATTCTTTTTTCTTTTTTTTTCCTCCAATAAAGACCTCAGGAGAAATTTTTATTTATTTTTAAAAATTTTTTTTCTCCACTAATAAGTCTGCCTGTTCTTGAATTCATATGAATGGAATCATATAGCATGTACTCTTTTGGGTCTGTCTCTTTTTGCCCATTGGAATGTTCTTAAGGTTTTTCCATGTAGTTATGTGTACCCATAGTTTGTTTATGCTGAGTAGTGCTCAATTTTATGAATATGAATATTCTCCTGCTAACAAATATTTGAGTTGTTTTCTCTTCCCCTAGATTTGAACCCTATGTTTTTGTTAGCAAAACTTTTTTTTAAAAATGTGCACTAGCTTTATTACAGCCACATCACACTAGTTTGGGGATCATGAAATCCCTGGGTGCTTTTCATGTCAGTTATAGTCAAACCCAGTTTTCCTGTGTGTCCTTATACCACTGGGCTTTTAAAAAATTAATGTAATATAAAACTTTACATCTACCCTATTAAATTTATCTTGTTGGTTTCATAGCTTTATTGTTTTAAATCTTGATTCCATCATCTATGACAGTAAGCCTTTCCAACCTCATACAACGTGCACATTTAATAGCTAAGGCTTCAGTATCTTTGTCCAAGTCTTTGCCATGCATTTAATGAGACAGAAGAACGATATGGTACCCCATTTGAGATCTTCCTGTAGGTTTACAGGTCATAAATCAACACTTTCTAAGCATAGTTATTCAGCCAACTGCAGAATTATGCAAGAGTTAATTCTCCAGCCTGTGCTTGCCTTTGCCTTCTCCCCTTCCTGGGACAAGGGCTTTCTGTCCTAGGAACATCTGCTGTTTCTCTTGGTTCAGCATGGTCTGTGATCGGCCAAGGAGGGGAGGTGTACTGGTGGACCACTAGCATCAAGTGAGTCTCAGAGTGGAACGGGACCTTTGTGGGCTGGTCCACGTCATCAGTGTCCATCCCCAGGGAGCACTATTCTCCAGGGAGTGGGCTTTCTCTGGCTTAACTGAGACTGGACATTCAGGGACACCAGTCAAGATGATCTCCATCCAGAATACAGACCAGTCACCAGAGGGTTGCTTCATGAGTGAGGAATTAAAGCAAAGCAGATAGATGGTCTTACAGGTGGTCTGTACCGGTGGTCCTAAGGGTAGTCTGTCCATTCCTCTCTTAGTTATCTTTATTGTGGCCTTTGTGTATTTGTTTAATGTAAGCAAACCTCTGTGCCTGGCCCAGTATAAGCTTGTATAATACCAAAGTAGATGAGAAGAGGTCCTTGTTCTTAGGGTTCCCCGCATAGTGGGGGCACAGAATTATAAATTGCTGCTTCTGGTGGAGTGTGGTGAGGGTTCTGAGAGAAGCGTGTGTGGGTATCATAGGAGCTCAGAGGAGGAGGAGGACCGAGCGGCCAATGGGCTCTGCTGGCTGTGTGGCCAGATGAACACTGGCTGCTTTTTGCTCCCGGAACGTACCTTTTACTTGGGCTCCTGGTGGACCATACCTTTCTGTTGTGATAACATAGAAGTCTCGTCAATCAAATTTTGGAGGTACTGATTAGATTTTTAGCTTGGCTGATGTTAAACATTCTGCATATGGCTCTCTGGATCTATCTAGATTACCTCAATTTGCAGAAATTCCCTGGATAGGACTCCGCAGCATTGCAGGTCATTGCTTAGGGTGGAGCATTTGGCTCATTTTGTCCATTTTCCTATTGATTTCCTTTATCTTCAAGGTCAGAACATGACCTTTTTCCTGATCATATGTCTCAAAACTCCCCATACATATCAGCACATGTACTATATCTTGTATTTTCTGATGTGATCCCATTGTCCCTTTACGTAGCCTCAAACTGCCAAGTGGGGGTAGGCAACCTGCAGCCTTGGGGCCACATGTAGCCTTCTGGATCCTTGAGTGCAGCCTTTTGACTGAATCCAAATTTTACAGGACAAATTTTAATAAAGGGATTGGTTCTGTGAAGTTTGGATTTGGTCGAGGGGCTATACTTGGGGATCTGGAGGACCACATGCAGCAGATTCCCCACCCCTCTGGATGATGATAAATGAACTCATGGAAGAATCCATACTTAACTCTGCCTGGAGTTCCTTTCCTTCATATTCTGAACTTCAGGATGTCGAAGTCACTTACAGGTGACAGCCTTGACATCTTCCTGGACCAGGCTCTATGATTCAGTGGGACCATCAAGAGGGAACCCCAGAGCCTCACCAGCACAGGTGTCTGGATCTGGGTATTTCTGCACAAACACATCTGCCTGGGCAGCAGAGAGGTCTCTGTAGGTTCAGGGGAGTTGCTTCCTGGGATGGCCACTTGGCTGGCAGGTGCTCCTCACAGCTCTCAGTATTCTGGCTCTTCTCCCCATTGAGGAAGCACTGGAGAGACGTGGAGTGGCAGACTCTGTGAGAACAGGGAGAAATGTACTTATTCACCAGACTCCAGATCTTAGACCTGGGAGGTTCCTTTTCACTTGAGTTGGTCATTTTAGGGTATTTGAAAGGAAGCGTAATGCAGATCATCTCATCAGGGGCATTTGGCTATTAGGCCATTTCTTTCTTTCATTCTTTGGGAAGGTGTTTAGCCATTAGAAGTGCCAGTTTTCAGAGCTTCCTTGGTTAGTGGATAGGAAAGGACCAGGTAACTTTTCTCAGAGCTGCTGGGGGACAGACGTAAGAAGTTTGTTGCCCCCCACCTCATATAACCTCTAAGGTTGCCAGCCTCTCTGAGATACAGGCCTGCTGTCACCACATCCCAGAGATCTTTTTATTTGTTCTTTCAGGATTTACTGAGCACATGCCACATGTCAGATAAGCAGCCCTCTTGTGCTCCTGGAATACAGATGAAGAAATTTACACAATTCAGTGGAGTTTGTTGAACTCTGAGAGCTCTAGACAAGGAGGAAGGAGTGGGCAATTCCGAATGGCGGGAGAAGCATTGGGGTCCAGCATGCTGACAGTGGGAAGGCCTGCCAGGAAGGGGGCCAGGGGAAATAGAGGTCCAAGGAAGAAAACACCCAGTGATTGGGGAAGGGTCTGTCATCCAGTCTGTGGTTCTGGCTGTGAGGAAGGCTCATGTGGAACTGTAGGCAGGGCCAGGCTTGGAGAATATCACCTTCTGAGGTGGATGGATCGTGTCCCTAGGAGTCCCTACCACACTCACCGTAGCTAAGAGCACAGGCCAGCACTTACAATCTAGGTGTGTCTTGAGCAAATTCCTTAGCTTCTCTGCTTTAGTCTTCTCGTTTGTAAAATGGGGGTGATACTAATACAGCTTTGTAGGATTGCTGTGAGAATTAAATTTAGACTTAATATATGACAAGTGCTTAAGAGTAGTGCCTGGCACATAAGAAATAACATAGAAGTGTTCCATTTGCTGTGATTCTTGAGGATTGAGCATAGGAGGATGGCACCTCCTCAAAAATGGGGTCCCGCGGCTTGGCCCCATCCTCCTCCCCAGCTCTTGTCATCCCACTGCCTCCTCTTCAGCTGACTTCTTCCCTCCCTCAGTCTACCCACGTAATGATCTGCTAGAATTGACAGTTGCCAAGTTGCTGTACTTGCTTCACCCATTTTTGGATGACATGATTTTAAATCAATTATAGACAACATGGCGTTTGACCCCTGAGTGCTTGAGCTTGCATCTCTAAAAACTAAGGACTTTCTCACATAACCACAATATTGTTATCCCTAACAAACTGACAGTAACTCCTTTATATTATCCAATACCCCGTATATATTCATATTTCCCCAGTGGTCTCAAAATGTTTTTTGCAGTTTTTGAGCCAAAAACCAAACAAGGCCCACATAATTGGTTTTAGTTTTTATGTCTCTTAAATATCTTCTGTTCTAGAATAGGCCCTTCTCTCTCTCTCTCTCTCTCTCTCTCTTTTTTTTTTTTTCCTTTTTTAATGACATTTTTTAAAGTCTTGAAAAATGTGCTTTTCTGGATTTGTCTCATTGCTTTCTTTGGTGTTGCTTAAATTGTTCCTGTATTTCCTATAAACTGAAAGTTAGACCCAAAGGCTTGGTTAGATTCAGATTAAATTTATCCCTCTGTCTCTCTCTCTGTCTCTCTCTCTGTTTCTCTCTCTCTGTCTTTCTCTCTCCTCTCTCTCTCCCTCTCCCCTGCCCCAGCTTTCAGCAGGAGTTGCTCATAGATGATTCTGTGTACCTCATGCTACGTCATACAATGCACACAGTGTCTGCTTGTCTTGCTGTTAGCAACACTAAGATTGACCATGGGGTCACATGGTGACAGCAGCAGTTTTCTTGAAGCCACTGTCCATGGTACTCAAAAGACATTTTGCAAATACAGATGCTGAAACTCAGACCAGTCAGCAGAAAGAGAAAGAGAGAGAGAGTACGTGTATGAGAACATGGGGAAACCAGTGGCTGTCTTTCTTTCCTTCTCCGTCCCCATTGCTGTCTTCCTTTTTTCCTTTCTCCCTCCCTCCTCCTTTCTCCTCACCCTTCCTCTTCCTCCTCCCTCTTCTTTCCCTCCCCCCACCTCCTTTACACCCATTTTTCTCCCCTTCCCACTCCCCATGCATATCCCCACCTTTCCTTCACCCCTTCCCTGTGAACCTCCCACCTTTTCCACTCTCCACCTCCCTCCCCCAATCCCTCAGATGATTGACGGCGAGGCCTTCCTTTTGCTGACACAGGCGGACATTGTGAAGATCATGAGCGTCAAGCTGGGCCCAGCCTTGAAGATCTATAACGCCATTCTCATGTTCAAAAATGCTGATGACACCTTAAAGTGACTGGGCGAGGGCTGGGCCCTCCTCCTTGCTGGGCCTTCCTCTCCAGCTGATGCTTCCTCCCCGACTTGCGTTCCTCATATCCCCACTGTGCCCCCACCCTCTGTATCTGACCAGGGTTGGTCCTTCCTAGAAGGTGCATGGAAGCGGAAGAGCCCAGGGAGGGTGGGATCCTGGCCCTGGAGTCCTGGGGCTCATTTGCCATCAGGTGCACCAGTGAGGGTGTGACTGGGCCGGGGTGTTATGATAGAGTAGGTTGGAGGCCCTGCCTGTGGTAGCCCCACACCCCCAGCTGACTTGTTTTATTACCAAAGGGTCTTTTTCTTAATGGTTAAGACGAGTCTGGTAGAGCAGAAGTCCTCTGATCTGAGGTCCTTTCCCCTTTTTGGCATCTCCACGCACTTTTCTCTCCTGGGCTCCTTTCCTGCTACCAAGAAGTGACCCTGCCATGAACATATTTACTCCTGAAGTCACCTCCTCCCTTTCTGTCTGCCTGTTTTGCTGCCCTCATTCCTGCTTCCTGGTTTCCTAGGCAGTGCCCCCAGCCAGAACCCACTAGTTCTTCCCCCTTAGATGAATGAACCTCAGAAACATGTTTTCATGTGATCCACTGGGAGTCTCTGGCTGCCTTTCTCCCTTTTGCCCAGAAGCGGGGGATTCTGAGCCAAGATGCCTTCTTAAACATGCCCAGTTCTGGACTAGTTGGCATTTGTGTCCCATGTCAAGTCCTAGTTCCAGCAGAGTAAGCAGGTGGTCAGAGCCTATTTCACAACTGGCAGAGGTTGAGGTTCCACTGATGTTTCCCATACACCCTTCCCATGTTGGGTCTTGGGGGGAGGAAGCCTGGCCAGGAGACCAACCCAAGGGTATGTCAGACAATCTTGGGTCTTTGACCAGAGGGGTAGGTCCAGCAGGCATGGTGGTGCCCAAAGCTGGGCATAGCATCCTCTCTGCAGCTGTTGACCTCAGCCAAGGTATTGCCCATGGGGTGAGGGCCCCAGGCCTGCGAAGCCTCCTGCCATGAGAATATAGCACTCTGTCTGGCACACTACCCCCCATGACATTACATTCGGTCTAGCTCTTAAATGTTTACCACTTGCTCTTGAGAAGTCTTACAAAGACCACTGAAAGTTGGGAGTTGGGAAGGTGAACTCTTCTATCTTTGAATTCTCTAAGTCCCTTAAGCCCTCCTTGCCACTCTCCATCTGTCTTGCACTGCCAGCTGGGTCCCTGCTTGGGCTCTGGGACTTCAACTTCTCTGTCTGGGTGGAGGCCCAGCCTCCACTGAGCCACTGCCAAACCTGCCTCCCAGCCTGGGGGGAAGGGCCAGAGCCCCTGGCAGGAGCCAGCCCCACAGGGAGGTGAGGAGCCACTGCCAAGCTCCTGTGCCCCCAGGTGCTGACATGGGCCTGTAGGGTATGGGGCCAGGGGGTCCTTCCCCAGACCCCTTTTCTCAGTCATGTGAGATGTGTGTCTGTGTGTATGTGTGGCACTCTCAGAAGTGTTTGACAGGGTGCAGATGTAAAACTCAGTGCTGGGAAAATATCAAGGGCTATTGTCATTAAAAAATGTAGCTTTATTTTTTCCTTACAAGTGGGAAACCCAAAGCTCTGCTGATTTCCTGCCATGGCCCAGGAGGGACCCCTCTCTCACACAGGCCAGACAGCTTTTTGAGGACAGCCATTCAGCCCCCCGCTGAGCTCCCACAGGGCTTCAGATGTTCTTTCCCTTTCAACCCTGAGAGGTGGCTTTGAGCACAACCCTCCTGGGAGCTCCTTGGGGTGAAGGTTGGATGTACAGAGGTGGCATTGGTGCCCCCTTGGCCAAGAGTACAGAGAAGCAAGTCTAAGCCTCTCTTTTATCTTAGTTGCCTGGGTGGTGGCAAAACTCATCAGCTCCTTGTCTTCAGTCTGCTCCTCTACAAAGTGAGAGAAGTGCACTGACTTTGTGGTGTGAGGAGAAGGCAGCAGGTACTTAAGACTGGTGCTGTGGGGCCTCACAGTTTCCAAGGAGGGACAGCCTTTGCCCCGCAGATCTGCCAAGCACCTGATGCTTGCCTGTGGGAAAGGCAAGATGGACTGAGGGCATTGGAGAAAAAGTCCCCCGGCCTCTAGACTTTGACGCCTCAGCACTTTCTGCACTGATGTCAAACTCTTTGTCAAGAAACCAAATCATTAAAAAGTGGAAAGAAGTCTGCCTTCTGTGCGCCCCACTGCCCCTTCATCCCCACTCTGTCCCCAGATAAGATCATTGCATCTTGACCTGGGAGCACAGAGAGGGGGAGGGGGTTGGCAGCAGTTCCTACTGCCCTCTGCCCTTTGCCCTCTGCCCTGCTCTCTAGCAACAGGTGCCACTTATATTTTGGCCCCTGGCAGCCTTGCTCTGCGCCTGCTCAGCTCTGGCTTAGGGCAGGGAAGACCTTTCTGTTTAATTTCTGAAGCAAAGAGAATGATCTCAGAGTTTGAAAATGAAGTCTTTTTTGCACTTTCATTCACATGCACTTTGGTGGGATTACATTTTTGTACTTGCCTCTCTTGTGTGCACATGTGCGTGTGTGTATGTGTGTGTGTGTGTGTGTGTGTGTGTGTGTTTTAAGAGGATCTCTGACTTAAGCTGACTCTTGAGGGAGAGTTATAAACAAAATGTTATGTGATTTGTCAGTGTATCAAAACAACTTAAATAAACTTGAACAACTGATGATACATAGCCAGTGTCTGTATCTATTTTTGTGGTAAAACATCCAGAAAACACAAAATGATTATCAGTGTCATTACTGAAGAGACTAAAGTGTTCTCTTTGCTGTTAGTTAGGCGTCTTAAAGAATCTTATTTTTGGCCGGGTGCGGTGGCTCACACCTGTAATGCTAGCACTCTGGGAGGCCGAGGCGGGAGGATTGCTTGAGCTCAGGAGTTGGAGACAAGCCTGACCAAGAGCGAGACCCCGTCTCTACTAAAAAAAAAAAAAAATAGAAAAATTAGCTAAGCACAGTGGTGCGCACCTGTAGTCCTAGCTACTCAGGAGGCTGAGGCAGGAGGATCGCTTGAACCCAGGAGTTTGAGGTTGCAGTGAGTTACAGTGATGCCACTGCACTCTAGCTGGGGTGACAGAGCAAGACCGGCTCAGAAAAAGTGTTTTAAACTGAAAGATGTAAGAACAGCTGTATAAGCTTATTATTTAAACACAAAGAAGCAGCTAAAAGGGAGGAATGGGGCAAGGAACTGGTCACTTCCACCTAGTAATCCTATTTGATTCTGAATTTTGTGTATTTTTTACTTTCTGAAATTTTTTTTTTCCAGAAAGACAATCAGGGCCCATGTCTGATCTGCATGCAAGCTCTGTTGGCCCAAGCATCCTGCTCCCAGCCCACGTGGGCAACAGATTTTTCTGTGCGACCCTGTGCCCATTATTACCTTTGCCTGTGGATAAATCTGCAGGTGAGGGTGGGGCTGGGAGTAGGGCTGGGGCCAGACTAAGGACAGAAAAGCGGGCTGAGGAATGTCAAGGTGGAGGGAATATTCATGGAGGTGTGTTCCTGTTGGTTCAGTCTCTTGCTTCCCCTTCTCATCCCTGGACATATCTGACCTTCATGCCCAGACAACGAAATCCAGCCAGGATGGAAGGGGAAAGAAGAAGGAAGAGAGGAAGTTGGGAGGAGATGCATATCTGCAGTGGCCTCCTGCACGAGTGGCCCTGGCAATTTTCTGCAGCATCGTTGAGGGGAAAGGGCACATTCTAGCACTGCTGGTAGCCATGTCAGTTGGCACAACCTTTTGTAGTAACTTGGTAGATAGGTCAAAATTAACCTACCACTCTCACTTAATAAGAGTTTATCAGACAGAAATACTAGCATAGGGCCACAGGATATTAACACAAATGTTCCCTGCAGCCTTGTTGGTAGTATCCTGAAACTGGTAACAGCCTAAATGTCCATCAGCAAAGGAACAGAGAATGAGCGATAGGGATAGCGAAATTAACCCCACACCATGTATGCGGTATGATGAAGCTGCTAAGAAAAAAAAAAGTCGAATCTTTCTATGTGACATGAAAAGATGTATGTGAGGGAAAAAAGTGAATTGCTGAACAATATATATAGTATGGCTGTTTTTCTGGGAAAAAAATATCTGCAGGTATGTAGACTAGAACATAGAAGTCTGGAAGAACTGTCCCCCTTCAGTTAACAGCAGCTACCTCTGGAAATGAGGTTGAAGATGGGCTGGAGGGGAAGCTTTCACTTTTTACTTGACGTTCTGCTGTAAGTTGGGATTGTTTGATTGCAGTTTATGCAATCAATACCATTGTGTGGGTTTTTTTTAAACCAGCGCTGGGAGGGGAGGGGAGGAGGAGCTTGCTGGAGCAGTAGCAGCAGGAGCTCTGGAGAGGGGCAGGACCCTGGGCGCTGCTCTGATTTGCTCTGTGCACTTGGGCTGCCTCCCCGCTCTGGGTGGGGGCCAGACACATGCTGACTCATGTGTGGGTTGGTGGAGGTGGGGAGTGTGGCCGTACAGGCGCCTCTGGAGCACATTAGAATGACTGGAAAGTTGTAGACAGTTTGAAATAATGTCTTTTGCAGCAACTTGGTTGGAACTAGAGACCATTATCGTAAGTGAAGTATCTTAAGAATGGAAAAACAAACACCACACCTACTCTCTACTCTCTAAAAATTGGGAGCTAATTGATGGGCACACAGAGATGTAAAGGTCATTGGAAATCAAGAGGGGGAGGGGTCAAGGAGGGGAGGAGTAAAAACCAACCAGGTACAATGAACACTATTCGGGTGATAGGCACACTGAAAGCCCCCACTTAAGCATTATAAAAGGTGTCCACGTAACAAAAACATTTGTACCCTCTTAATATTTTGAATTGATTAATTTTAAAAAGGCAATGGAAGCAGCAGTATGAAAGTCAGGCTCTGAGGTGCCTGCTGAGGAGGGATCACTGGGCAGAGCTTTTCTCACCTGTCCAGTGGGCCAGGCCCTGCCTCTGCCCTGAGTTAGAACCCAGGGCAGCTTTGGGTCCACCATGAGAAAACCTTCCTTCCATGCTTGCAGGGGCAAGCTGAGCTCTGGTCCCTGAGCCTCAGCTTTCCGCAGGGCAGAGTGGGGCATAGGTTTCAGCTCAGCTGTGATTCTCCTCCCAGGGCAGTGCCAGAGCAGATGAGCTCTGGGTGGCAGCCTTTGGCTCAACACAACAGGATGCCAGAGGCTGGCTCAGGAGGGAATCAGCTGCCCATCCCTGGAAGTGTCCTTGAAAGGGCTAAACAGAGAGGCTGGTGGCCCCATCAGGGGAGGGGTGGAGGACAGAGTTGTGTGAGACAGGCCCTTCGATTGCCAGCTCTCCAGGTTCTAAGAGAAGGGAAGGTGATTCAGTGGATGGAATCAGGGAGGGCTGTGTGGAAGAGTCAGCATTTGAGCTGGACCTTGAGCGGGGGGTGGGGGTGATTCCAGTGTTGAAAGGGACATCAGAGACCCTCCCTCGAGGCAGAACACACACCATCATTACTAATTCACAGGAGGCTCGGGGAACTGAAGTCACCTGCCCAAGGTCACACAGCTTAAGTTGGGCATTGGCTTTTAAAAATTCAGAGGGTCCCTAGGGCAGGGCTGTCCAGAAGCCAGTGGGTGCAGCCAGCATGGTAATCCAGGTCCAGTGGTTAATTAGTAACAAGAGGGCCCTGAAGCCAGCTCCCAGCTGGCAGGACTGAGAGGTTGAACTTGAGCCGGTTTGGAAGACTGTGCGAATGGGTGACAGGTCGCTACTGACTGGGAAGGTTGCTCTGCACGTCAGGATTGGGTTTCAGGTCAGAGGACCATGCGGAGAGAGCGGAGGGCAGAGCTGTGCTTGAGGCTGCTCCCCAGGACCTCAGCTAGACTGAGAGCTTTCAGGTGAGAGGTTCACCTGTGAGCAGGACACCTGCCTGCTAGCCTATTGGTCTGCCAAATTGACTAACTAGTTACCTAGCTAACCTTTTTCCTAACTACCTACTTTCTTTCCTTCCTTTCTTCCTGTCTGTTTTCTGTCCCCTTTCCCTCCTTTCTTTCCTTCCCTCCCAACTAACTTTGCTTTCTCAGCTGCCTAAATTTCTTCCTCCTTAACTAACCAACTTATATCCTCACTTCCCACTAACTGCATTCCTTCCTAGCTTTCTAACTTCTTCCTGAAATTCCAGGCCTTGGGCTCTGGAGTCAGGCTGCCTGGGTTCAAATCCTAGTTATGTCAGTTATTAACTATGTGTCTTGATCATATGACTTCCCATCTCCATGCCTCAGTTTTCTCTTCCTCAAGGCAGGGATGATGGTAGTTCCTGTCCCATGGGGTTGTAGCAACAAAGTAAGATCAAGCTGGCACTTTGAACTGGGCCGGCAGGTGGAGTGAAGACAGGTGCAACAACAGAGGAGGGGTCGTGGGATCAGGAGGTAGTCTGGCTTCCAGGGAAGGCAAATGAGATCAGACGAAAGGGTTAGCCCAGCAGACCAGGATGGTTGGGGGAATGTTCCAAGGAGAGAGAACTGTGTGACACCACTGCTCCCCACCTCATTCAGCTGGTCCAGGGAGATGTAAGCAGGTCCATGTAGCGATGGGACAGAGAGACACAGTCTAGGCTGCAGCAAGTTAGGGGAGGGACAGGTTTGAGGGCTAAGGAGGGGCTTAGATGCCCCCTTGGGAGTTCACAGGGGCCTCTATAGGTCTGAAGAGTTAGGAGATGATATTGATGCCCAGCCTCTGGCCAGAAAAATCAGAAAGTGGTGCAAGAGAGAAGAAAGCCTTAGGAACTGAGAGGTGCGCAGGTGTGGGGTCACAGTCAAGGTGATGGGGGAGGGTAGCGATGGGCCCTGGGCATGCCTAAGTTCCCACTAGGACTTTGTACTGAAGTATTAACTGCACAGCAATGTCTTGAAAAATTGTACGCAGTAGTATAAAGGTATTATAGAAATAAAAATAACCTAACCCAAGAACCCACTGTTGCCTGGAGGCGTGATCCTCCAGCCTTTTTTGTGTGTGTCCGTGGCTATACACGCCATGTATATGTGCATGTGTGTCTTTTTTTTCTTTTACAGAATTGGTATTCCTAGTACACCTTCCATTTTGAAACTTGCTTTTTTTGCTTGACATTGTATCATGTATATGTTCCTGTTTGATTTATGTAGGTTTATATATCCTTTTTTTGGTTGTGTGATTTTCCATTTTGTATATGCACCGAAATTTATTAATTCATTTCTTGATTCATTAGTCAAATATGTACTGAGCACCTACTGCATTTCAGGCCCTGTGCTAGGTGCTGGCGATTCAATAGCAGCCCTCGTGGAGCTGATGTTCTAGTTTGAGACAAAACCAAATAGTTGCATAAAAGGCATCAGAGACTGTTAAGTGCTACAAGACAAAATATAAAGCAGAAGAAGTGCGTATGGAATGGGCAGGACCAGCATTGTAAAGTGACTACCCATCCTGGTTTGCCCAGGACTATGCTGGTTTTAGCTCTGAAACCCCCAAGTCCCAGACAAACCGGGATGACCTGTCACCTGTAATCAGTACTGGCCTCTCCAAGAGGGGACGTTTAGGCAGAGACCTCTGTGATGTTAGTGGAAACCAACCACGCAGATGCCTGGGGAAGAGTGTTCTAGTCAAAAGGAAGAGGAAGTACAAGGAGTTGGAGGCCAGAGGGTGCCTTTATGTGTTCAAAGGACAGTAAGAGAATGCCAGAGAGGCCGAGGGCGGTCAGGAAGGGGCTGATGGAGGCTGGAGTTTGTGAGCTACCAAGACACATGATATGATTTACATTTTAAAAGACTCACCCTGGCTTTCAGTGGAGAAAGACTGTGGTGGGTAAATATAGGAGCAGGAGCTGGGTGCAGTGGCTCATGCCTATAGTCCCAGCTACTCGGGAGGCTGAAGCAGGAGGATCGCTTGTGCCCAGGAGTTTGAGACCAGCCTAGACAGCATAGTGAGATCCTGTCTCTAAACAATTTTTTTTTTTAAAAAAAGAGAATAGAGAAGCAGGGAGTCAGTGAAAAATCTATTGCAATAATCCATGCAAGTGAGGATGGAAGCCCAGGCAGGGTGCTGCGGCAGCAATGGTGGTGAGCATCAGTGGCTTCTGGATATATTTTGCATGGGATCTCACAATGGAGTGCAGGTGGGGTGAGGGTACAAGGTTTCTAGAATGAATTCCAAGTTGCTGGCTTGAACTTGTGAGCAGGGGGTAGTGCCACTACTGAGCCAGAAGACTGAGGGAGGAGCAGGCTGGGACAGACTGGAAGGAAATGTGAGGGAAAAACCTTTGTTTTGTTTTGTTTTTTGTTTTGTTTTCTTTTTGAGACAGAGTCTCGCTCTGTTGCCCGGACTAGAGTGCAGTGGCATCATAGCTCACAGCAACCTCAAACTCCTAGGCTCAAGCGATCCTCCTCCCTCAGCCTCCCGAGTAGCTAGGACTACAGGCATACACCACCATGCCCAGCTAATTTTTTCTGTTTTTAGTAGAGATGGGGTCTTGCTCTTGCTCTCACTGGTCTCGAACTTCTGACCTCCAGCAATCCTCCCACCTTGGCCTCCCAAGTGCTAGGATTACAGGTGTGAGCCAGGCCTGCAAAACCTTTGTTTTGGACATGTGAAGACTGAGATGTCACTAGAAATCTAACTGGTGAATTGTCGAGGAAGCATTTGGGTATATAGGTCCAGAGTTCAGGAGTGAATTGGAACTAGAGAGATAAATTTGAGAACTGCGGAGTATAGTTGGTTAAGCCACTAAACTGGTTGCAATCAACTAGGGGACAAACGTAGACAGAGGTCCAAGGACAAAGCCCTGGGACAGGCCCGTGTTTAAGGATTTAAAAAAGGAGATGAACCCAGCACAAGAGGTGGAGAAAGCAGTCAGTGAGCTAGAAGGAAAGCCAGGATCTTCCAAGGCCAAGTGGGTAAAGTGAGTGTGCCAGATCCTTTAGAGAAGCTGAGTAAGATGAGGATGAAGAATGCATCACTGGCTTTGTCACGTGAAGGTCACTGGTCCACAGTTTCATTGGAGTGTTGGGATGAAAGCCTCTGGAATGGGCTCAAAAGAGAAAAGGGAGAGGAGTGGAGATGATGAGTCCAGACAACTCTTTCGAGAAGTTTAACTGAAAAGGGGAACAGAGGAATGGGACAGTATCTGGACACGGTGTGCAGTCAAGAGGGAGGGCTGTTACAGCCGCAGATATTCCGAAGTGCCCGGTGGTGGGACATTCAGGTGACTGTTGTCACTATCATTTACTGTTATAAATAGTACTGCTGAATGAAGGCCCCATCAGGGTCTTGTTTTTGAAAAGAAATGTCCTTGTTCTGGGTGCGTATTTTGTCAACATGACATCCTGCTGATCGTGTATTTGTCCACCATTTCTGTTTTGTTGAAAGATAGAAGGCTCTGACATTGTTCACTCAGGTGTCCTTTGGCCAGCACTTCCAGGTCCCCTGCATTTCAGAGCCTGCAAAGAACCCCTGAGGCTACTTGGCTCAATTCCCACCCTGACCAACCTCCTTGGCCCCAGCCCCATGGCTCCTCCTCCTGGAGTGGTGCAGCCACACCGAAAGTTCCAGAAGGGCAGAGGCTGTGTTAGGCCCATCAAATCCTTCATTCCCTAGAATACCTGCCCATCTCTTTGAGCTCCTGGGGAGAAGAAGGGTCCCCGTGAGTCCCTAACGACTATTCCAGTCAGCAAGGCCTTCATGAGTCAGGGTGGCCGCTGGAACCCTGCTTCTTACACCGCAGGAGAGCTATGGGCCAACTGGGCCTGCCCTGAGGACCGGGCCAGAGCCCTTTAGGGGCCAAGAGGAAAAGGCCTGAAGGGCCAGGTGCTCAGTAGTCAAAGACCAAGGCAGCCGGACTCAGCCAGACACCAGGCTCCTGGTTCCTCTGAAACATCTGCAGGTCTTGGGCAATGGAAGGCTCTCAGCCACCATGGCTGAGGTCTGTGGGACCTCATCTACACCCCAGACGGTCTTTACCAGGCCTGCATAGGCCTCAGGGATCTTATCTTCTTACAAACAGCCCCCTACACATGCACACACCCACTCACACAGAAATTTACTGATACACACCAGTATGAACACAGACACACCATGACGTACCTATTTACAAACAACGTGGTTTGTGTGTAGGTACGTCACACTACGTATGCTGAGAAACACAATGGTGCACACAGTCACTGTGCACATACACTGACATAAAAGACAAACGTGGCCACACTGACACATACATGCAGTCTTCTATACAAACTCACACACCGCCATAAATACCTGAAATACGGAGCCACACTGACACACCAGACAGACACACTGAAGCACATCTGTGCACACCACACACACCCTGGCCTGCACAGTCACACACATTCTAGCAAGCCCCAAGGTCTCCAGGGCTCTCCTGGGGCTGTTGCCCACCCCCTCCACTCCACCCCTCAGGGGAGATGACGTCCCCGAGGGAACAGAGGTCTCCCGTCCTATCTTAAGTGCTGCTGGATCCCGCATGACGTCAGCCAGCCCCCTCGCTGCTGCCGGGAGCCGCGAGCTCTGTGCTGGGGCCCGGCCGGCACCAGGCACGGACACTTCAGCCCTTGTTGGGAAAACAGAGAGAGGCTCTCTTGTCCACTGCCTGTCTTCAGCTCCAACTGCTGGTTCTCCCAGAGGCTTCTCAGGCTGTGCAGGTACGTGGAGCCAGGGAGGGCAGGGCCTGGCAGCAGGCCATCAGGGTCAGCCCAGGAGAGGGTGTGGCAGTGTGGTGGGCTGTCTGCAGGGGCTCAGGCTGATGGCATTGGCTGGAGCCACGCTGCATGGCCTATTTGGCAGTTCTACAGCTTTCTATCTTAGGGCTTCGCAGGAGGGGGATCGCTTCCCATCTCCTTCACTTTCTCTGTTTCCAAGGAAGCCATGTGGGGGTGCATCTAGGAACCCCCTTGTAAAGATGGGCAGTTTCTAGCCAGAGAGGCTGGGCTGCAGCCCAGGCCCCACAGGGGGCCGCGCCGGTGGTCTTGGGATATACAGTGCCCAGCAGTCCCTGCGAGTAACTGGGCTCTCAGATGAGATCTCTGCTCTTGGCCTTGGCTTTCCAAGTAAGGATGAGGCTATGGGACCCCAAATACTCTGAGCCGGGGTCTGGGCACCCTGGCCTCCTCCACTGGAGTTGAGGGCAGTGGGCAGGGAAGACACTGTGCTCCTGGCTGCATAGAACAGCTGGTCACACCCTCTGCTGTTTGACCTCAGATAGACCCTGGCCAGTCTTGGGTCACTCTGTGGCTCTGGCCCAAGGCCCCCAGGTCAGCTTCCATTCCTGTGGCAAGGAGATAATAGTGAACACGGAGCCCAGCTGGGACTGTTCACAGTAATTCAGGGTTGCCAACACGCCTGTATGGAAGTCTGGGAGCCTAGCCTGCCCCTCACATATTGTGTGGCCCTAGGAAAGTCCTTTACTAGGCCTCAGGCTCCCCACCTGTGAAGTGAGGGGAAGGGTCCAGACTTCATGCCCTGCAAGGGTCCTTCCAGCCCTGGCCATGTCGGACTCCTGGAGCTGCCCCAGCTCACAGGGGTCTTGCTGCCCTGGATGTCCCCAATTCTTGAAAAGACAGTCTGGGAGGGACCACACCCCTCCAGCCCTCTGGATATGTTTGGTTAAAGAGGTTGGGTCCAGGAGTTGTCACTCCTTGTCCCATCCATGCAGGGGTTGCTGGCCCCTGGGGTAGGAGATGGCTCAGGCTGCAGCAGGTGTAGGGGTTGAGGAGGACTGAGAGGACAGTGGTGCCTGAAGTCCTCCTAGAGGGGTGACGTTAACTCACCAACACCAGCTCTCTCATGCCTGCTGTTCCCTGTGCCCCCAGAGAGCCCACCTGATCACCGCCACAGAATGGACTCTAGCCTGGCCGGGGCCCCCAGTCCACAGGTGAGTGGCTCTTGGTCTCCCACCCGTCACCAGGGGGCTCCATAGAGAGGCCGAGGACCTATGGAGACACCAGCCAACCCCACGGGCTGTCCCAGACCAGGACTGGGGGCCAACAGGGGCCACCGTGAGCACACAGGATTGGGCCTCTCACAGGGTAAAGAAAGAGGAGACGTGAGCAAGGGCTTCAAGAAATAGATGGGCTTCTTTCTTTGAGGAACCAAGATGTTCTCTCTTACTTCTTAGGATCTAGGTTAAAGGATAATCTCATCAAATTGTTAGAAACAACTTTAAAAAGAAGAGTAACAAATATTTTATTCACATATAGATAGCTTGCACTGTGAAAAAAGTGTTATATTAAAAAGAATCTGAATTTTTTGAAATTATATGGTCGGTAAAAAAAAAAAAAAAAAAAGTCCATGGTGTAGAAAAGCCATGGGCTTGGTGGTGAGGACACCCGGGTCCTAATCCCAGCCCGGTTACCTGTGAGACCCTGGACAACTCCCTGGGCCTGTTTCCTCACCTGTACAACTGGCACAACAGCCAGCAGCCTCCCAAGGCTGTTGTGCAAAGCAGGTAAGATGGTGGATGGGTGGTGGGTGGTGGGGTGGAAGGGTGGGTAGGTGGGTGGAAAGGAACAAGGAAGGAAGGAGAAAAGAAGGAAGAAAGCCTAGGAGAGTTGTTGGAGAAGGGATCAGGGCCCAGCTGGGGGCAGGGGGGGAGGGAGGGGCCCAGGGAGTAGGGTCTTGCTGATCTTAATCAACTCTTTCTTTACTGTCTTTAGCCCTCCAGGGCCAATGGGAACGTCCACCTGGGGCCTTCAGTCAACCCAAAGTGAGTTTGGGTCTCTCAGGGAACTTTCTTACCTGGCTCCCCTCATACCTGGCTCCCTAGCCTAAGAATAGAATCCAAGTTCTCTGGTCTAGTGTTCGAGACCCTCTGCCATCTGGGCCCAGGACAGTCCCCCAGCTTTACCTCCCACGAATTCCCCAGCCTTTGCCCTTGCTGAACCTGCTGCCTGCATCGTTAGCAACTCCCACCCTTCAGGCCCTTCTCAGGGTTTGGGGGCCAGATCCCTGCCTTCTCTGCAGGTTATCTGGTTTTATCTCCACCTTCTCGGTTGTTAACCTGAACGTGAGCTCCCCTGGGGCAGCGGGGAGTCTTACCAGCCCTCTCTTGGCTGGGAGAACACTGCGTTCTTCAGGGGCAAGGACACGTGGCTCCTGGAAGGCTCCTTGCATTTCCCAGCTCTACAGATAAAAAGAAGCCAGGGTTTGTTCTTGGGTGCCAGGTTTCTGGAGCTCGACAATGCTGATCAGAGTTTTCCCTCTTCCCCCAGTGCCAGGCCCACGGACTTCGACTTTCTCAAAGTCATTGGCAAAGGGAACTACGGGAAGGTGAATGACTTGAGGAGGGTGGGGGGCCCGGCTCTCCTTGCTGTGCCTCCTCCAGCCCCTGCCTGCCATGCACCGGCAGACGGAAGCAGGGTCAGCAAGAGGCCTTAAACCATCGGGAAGTCCAAAGTCACCCACAAGGCCTTGCATTTGTGCTTCTGCTCAGGTCCTACTGGCCAAGCACAAGTCCGACGGGACGTTCTATGCAGTGAAGGTGCTGCAGAAAAAATCCATCTTGAAGAAGAAAGAGGTACTGAGTTTAGGCACAGACATTTCCTCTCCTGCTTCTCCACCCCCAGCCTAGGGTGGCTTCCAAAGATGGGTCCCACCTCTGAGGGTCCTTGAGTCTGGGTACAGAGGTGGTCGCAGTGGCAGGTGAGGGAAAGGGGATGCCCAGGAGGCTGAGTCTTCTCAAAGAAGGCAGGCTAAGCCACCTCGCCCATGGGGCCTTCAGGAAGACCTGTCCCGGCCTCTGCCTTCCCCTAGGAAATACAGGGCCCCACAGTGGACAAGTCTTCTGCCCTCTGCAGGTGCCAGGCTCACCAACAGTGCAGTGTGGGTCATGTGCTATACTCTCCAAAGGCCCTCCAAGCCAAGGCCATCCTGGATTGCTTGATGCCTCTGCTGACTTGAGTCCCTGTAACAACCAGCCCCATTAATAGGACAGAGCAGGCCCAGGGAGAGGACCGACTGTGAAGTCAGGGGACTCAGGAAAGAGAGTGATTAATGTTAACGAGGACATCGTGGGGGTGGGAAGAGGAGGTCTTCCTGAGGAAGGCAGCCTTGCAGCTGGCCTTGAGGGTAGGATTCCAGTGGTCTGAAAAGAGGGTGGGACGTCTAGGCAGGGGAAATAGCACAAGCAAAGGCATGAACGTGGATCATGCCAGGCTTCTTTTCCCTCAGAGGTTTTCCTTGGGACTCATTTATGTCATCATCATATATGCTTTGCTTTTCACCCTGGGGGCAGGGGCTCCAGGGACTGGAGCTGCACCCACATGGAGAGGCTAGGGGTGAGGCTGACCACACTGAGCCCTGAATATTAGGCAAGTCGCCTGGGCCGAGCTCTGAGGGCAATAGGGAACCATAATGGGTATTTGAGCAGGGGCAAGAGAAAGTCCTGGGCAGGACAACTCCCACCAGCAAGGCTGTGTGGGCTGTGCCAGGAGTTGTGGAGGGCTGCGACATGGCCCCCTGTCTGTGTGACTCCACAGCAGGGCCACATCATGGCGGAGCGCAGTGTGCTTCTCAAGAATGTGCGGCACCCCTTCCTCGTGGGCCTGCGCTACTCCTTCCAGACACCTGAGAAGCTCTACTTTGTGCTGGACTATGTCAATGGGGGAGAGGTGAGTGGGCCCAAAGGAGGCTTCCCTGGACCGGCTCTTGGCTGGGAGCTATCCAAACCACATGCCCACTGCGTGAAAGTTCTGGAATGATCTCAGCTCATCCTTACAACAGATACATTTTGTAGCTAAAGAAACGGAGGCTGAGGGAGTGAATCACTTGCTCAAGGCCACCCAGCCCGTACCTGGTGGAGCCAGGATGTGAATGCAGGTCTGTCAGGCTCCCATGGCGCTTTCTTGGCTCCTCCATCCATGTTGCCCACAGACCCTTTGACAGACCTGGGAAATGTCAATGCCAAGAGGCGCTCTGCGGTCAGGATGCCCAGTGCTCCCATTTTATACCGCAGGCCACAGGGTGGGATTGACCAGTCACTGTGGTAAACAGAGACCCAAGGCCACCTGGTGGCTCAGAAGCCCAGGTGGGACAAGCAGGGCACCCTCCTGGACTTCACTCGATCTCTCTGAGCAAGATGGCAAAGTCTAGTGGGGCTCCCCTCTGTGACCCCAGATTTAGCCTGAGTGACCTCATGCCTTTCAGTCTGATGCCCAGAGGGAGTTTCTGTCCTGCATCCCTAAGCGAAGTGCTTTCCATGCCCGCAAAATAGACCAAAGTTGTTGGCCCACAGGTATCTCTAACCTGGGCTCAGTTTGATGGCCATAATCATCTTACCACCTGGATTGGAGGAAAAGCACATCTCTGAACCACCCGGGGTTCAAATCTCAGCTCTGCCAATTACAAGCTACGTGACCTTGGGCAAGTCACCTAACGGTTCTGACCCCTGCCAGTTTCCTCTTACATGAAACTGGCATGATATTTGGACCTTGAAGGTTGTTGTGAGGATTAAATGAACTAAGAGATGTAAAAGGGCCTGACTGGGAGCCTGGAACACAGTAGGCGTTTAATTGACGCTAATTAATCTCTTCTCCTGCTGACACTTTGGACACTCAGGACTGCTGTGTGGGGCAGGCGCCAGCATGCTCTGTTTGGTAGGAATATATGGCAGCTCGGAGAGGGGTGACGTGGTCAGCTGCACAGGGTGGGGTCCTAGGGACCCTGCCCTGCACTCTAGGAGCTGGAGCCCCCGGAGCTCCTCTCACACGCCTCCTCCCCTCCAGCTCTTCTTCCACCTGCAGCGGGAGCGCCGGTTCCTGGAGCCTCGGGCCCGCTTCTATGCTGCAGAGGTGGCCAGCGCCATTGGCTACCTGCACTCCCTCAACGTCATTTACAGGTGAGGCATACCTGCGGCTCAGAGCCAGGCCCGGGCCCTTCTTGTTCTAACAGCCAGAGGTTGTACAGACCCCTAAATCCTGATGGATCCCAGTGACCTTGAGCCTTTGTTTGGGATGGAGTTGGGGGCTGCTCTTTCCTAGATCCCGGTGCCCAGCGTCCCTGGGCTCTTCCTCTGCATCTTGGGAGCCTCCACCTGTGGTCCTCCTGCTAGGACCCTGAATCTCCAACTCTCCTCACACTAGATGGCTGAGAACCATAGGGCTCTTTTCTTTTATTTTCTGCAGGGACTTGAAACCAGAGAACATCCTCTTGGACTGCCAGGTTGGTGTGTGTATGGACATGGCTATACGTGTGTGCTGACCATGAGTCTGTGCTCATGGGTGTATGTGCATTGTACATGAATGCATCTGGGTAGAGGATACATTCAAGTATGTGTGTGCACGTGTGCCCATGCACGTGTACACACATGTGTATGTACATTGCGTGCACATGAGACTGCAAATGTGTATGTACGTGCAGACATGTGGACGAGGTCTGTGTGGGGCAGGAAGAGTGAAGTGGAGGCTAGTGGATTTCATCTTAGACTGGGTTCCCTGGAAACAGACCCTGAGATGGTGAGGCGAGAGCAGAAGGTTAACTGGGGAACGCTCTTGAGAAATAAAATACCTTTAAGGGAGTGAAGAAAACAGAATTGGGTAGAGGAGTAAGCTCACGTGCATCGCGGTTACAAGTGAGGCCTCATCTGATCTCCCTGGGGTGGAAAGGGCCTGAGCTGGGATGGCTCCTTAGGACTGTCCCACACTGGGACAAAGAGGCTGGGCCTTCGTGCCCCTACATGGACCAGTCACTGGATGTGGATTGCTCCTGGGGAGAGGGCATGACTTTGGGTGAAGGCAGTGTCCTCGCAGCAGGAGATGGGCATGGCAGCTTCGGAAGAGCGGATCTGGGCAGAACCTGGGAGTATCCATTCACTCCACCTCCCCGCCCAGCTACCACAAGGCCTAGTTGCTTTCTGAGTCCCCAGCCCTCTGTTAAGGGGGTTGCTGTCCAGCAAGGACATCCTGGAACTGCCGCTGTTGTAGGGGTGGGTCTGAGACTATGACGAGCTGGGAGCAGACAGTGAAATGCTGGGTTCCCTGTGCTGCCCCGGGAGCCCTGGGTCTGAGGGGAGCCTCCGGCCTGTGCCTGGGCATCAGGTCCTACTACTGCTGCCCTGGGGTGTGGCATCTGGTCTTTAGGGTTAGGCCTGGCCATACCCTTGGCTTAGACCACCCTCCTGTCCCTACCCACCCCCCTCATCCTCAGGGACACGTGGTGCTGACCGATTTCGGCCTCTGCAAGGAAGGTGTCGAGCCCGAGGAGACCACGTCCACGTTCTGTGGTACCCCAGAGGTAAGCGTAAGCACCCCAGAAGAGGGAAGGTCAGAGTGGCTAGGACCACAGATCTTGATTAGAGCCAACAGGTTACAGCTGAGGGGAAGATCCTGATTAGAGCCAACGGGTTACAGCTGAGGGGACTCACTGTTTTGACTCGAGTGCTTCCCCTGAGCTGGCTGTGCACGAAGCCTTGGTTTCCTCATCTGTGTAATAATAAGGACACCAGCCCTAGGGCTGCCAAGACCCAGCCAGCTAGCTGCCAGTGAAGCTCCACAGCAATTCTGTTGTCCAACAGAAACAGAGACGCAAGCCACGTACACAATTTAAAATTTTTCAGCAGCCACATTTAAAAAGTAAAAAGGCCAGGTACAGTGGCTCATGCCCGTAATCCCAACACTTTGGGAGGCCAAGATAGGAGGATCACGTGAGGTCAGGAGTCTGAGACCAGCCTGGGCAACATAGCAAGACCCTGACTCTAAAACAAATTTAAAAATTAGCCGGGCATGGTGGCACACACCCTGTAGTTCCAGCTACTCGGGAGGCTGAGGTGGGAGGACAGCTTAAGCCCAGGCGTTCAAGGATGTACTCTAGCCTGGGTGACAGAGTGAGACCCCATCTCTAAAAAAATAAATAAATAAAAAGTAAAACATAACCGTTGAAATTAATTTTAATGATATATTTTATTTAACCCAGTATATCCAAAACATTCTCATTTCGACATACAATCCTATAAAATTGTTGAAATATTTTATTATTTTTTTTCTAACGAAGTCTTTGAAATCTGGCATGAATTTCAATTTCACTTACAGCCCATCTCACTTTGGACCAATCACATTTTAAGTGTTGGATAGCCGTGTGGCTGGTGGGTGAAGTCCATGTGCAGCAGAAGGGCCCGGCCTAAGAGTCAAGATCAGGGCCTGCGAGTGCAAAACACAGGTCCACCTTCTTCTTTCAGAGCCTGGAGGGTTAAAATTTGCAGGTCTCAGCAGTAATTCACACATCCATCTGTCCTGCCAAGGCCTCCCTGGAGCCCTAGAGTTAAAACCTTTCCTTGAACTCCCACCAGTCTTGGACCTTGGGCCCGAAGGGGTCCCCCAGTGGCTTGGACAGGCGTCAGCGTGGGGGTTGGAGGGTGGAGGCTGCAGACTGGGAAGCTCCTCCCCACCTGGCACGGGACAGGTCTTCAGCTGCTCTGTTTTTCTCTGCATGCTTAAAAAGCCGGGTCTTGGATCTGATGGGCTCCTCCATTTGGTTCTTAGGTAGAACCCTAGAACCACCTCTGAGCAGGAGCCAGTGTCCGTGTTTGTATATGGGGGTGCTGTTTGCTGGACACAGCTGGCCCCCATTGCCTGACAGCCCCCAGCTATCCCTCTCCTGGACGCTGCTAGGGGCGGGGAGTAGATGATGTGGAACCCAGGCTCGTGTAGGAGACTTGAGGCCCCAACACTTCACCTTTTTCATGACTCGGCACTGCTGTGGTGCCGGGGAGCACAGACAAGGTTGCTCCCATCGTCCGAGGGCCTGCACCTCTGTTAGCACATATCTTACAACAGCCCCCAGGAGGGATTCTGCATCCGCATTTCATGGCTGAGGAAACCAAGGTTCTGGGAGGTTAAATGACCTGCCTGAGACCACACTCCAACAAGGCTCAGGACCGTGTGTCTCTACCCTTCCCCAGACCCACACAGTCTCTCAGGGTGGCTTTGCTTGTGACTGAGACCCCTCTCCCAAGGGCAGAGACACCAGGCTAAGAGGTCATCAAGTCCTTTTTGGGCAGGAATCAAAGCTCTGCCTCGGGTTTTCTCCTGGTGCAGGGCATGGATGCACGGTGTGCATCCATCTGTCGGTATGTCACCTCCTCTTCCCTCACCCTGGCCTCTGTCACTAAGGTTTCCAGCACAAGTGTGAGCCACATTTACTTACACTTTGTCCATCAGTGTCCCCGCTGCACTATGAGAGCTCCCGGGGCTTTCCTGCACCCAGGACACTGGGAGCCCATTGGATGTCTTTGTGCAATCAGAAAAAGGCACCTGCTCCAGGCAGACTAGTTAGAAAAAGCACCCCTCTAAACAAAAAGTTGCCAGGCAGACCTCTGAAGTAAGGTTGTGGCTTGGCGAGTGGATCACAGCCAGGCTTGCAGGCCCCTTTACCCCTCGGCTGTGCTTTTGTGTGGTTCACAACATGTACAATGGTACAGGGCGGTCCTGCCTGGTCTCTTCCACATCCCCAGCACATGGCAGGGGGCCGTGCACAAATGGTTGCGAAACGAACACGTGCAGAGCCACGGGGATGTCACAGCAGGATCAGCCCTCCCTGATCTTCCTCCGAGTGCCTTGTTTACAGATGGGGCAAACGAGGCTGGACAACTTGTTTCATACAGGTGTGTTTCCTTCTTACAGTACTTGGCCCCAGAAGTGCTCCGTAAAGAGCCGTATGACCGGGCGGTGGACTGGTGGTGCTTGGGGGCAGTCCTCTATGAGATGCTACACGGCCTGGTGAGTGGCGTGTAGCCATCTGCAAGGGACATCTGGCTCTGGGGTGAGCTAGGGGTGGGTCTCTCCCGAATGTGGTCTATGCAGCTCTGCTCGGGGAACTGAACAAGACATCTCTTCCTTCCAGGCTAAAAGAGATGATGCCAAAGTGATATGAGGATTATATATATTTTTTCAATAATGTTAGCTTAACACTACAGTTTACAACACACTGTCTCACCGTGGGTGCCTCAAAATAGCCTTTGGAGGTTGACACTGCTGGAAATGGAGTTATTTTTAGTTTACTGAGAGGGAAACTGAGGCCAAGAGAGGTCACATCCCAATAAATTGTGGAACCAACCTCTAGGCCACACCGCTTTACTCTGGGTGGTTTCACCCACATAGCCTGCTGCGTGAAGGAGCAGGCTAGGGGGAGTTGGGAGGAGGAACAGCTGGCAGAGGTGTGGGAGGAAGAGCAGCAAGAAAGAGAAGTGGACCCTGAACACGGCTGGGGCCTGGCTCTCTTCCCAGCCACGTGCACGTAGTTGCTCTGAGACTTGTCTTCGCATGTGGAAAATCCCAGCCTCTCTCGAAAGACAGTTATGAGACTGGGGTGAAATGATGAAGGTGAGAGAGCAAACTTGGCCAGGTGTGAAGTTGCTGCACAAGCTGGATTAAGAGAGATGGGCCGGGGTTGCTCTGCATGTTCAGTGCTAGAGGGAGAGGGAGAGAGAGAGAGAGAGAGATGGGCCAGGGGATGCTCCCAGGAAGTCCGCAAGACTCACACTGGCGGGGAGAGACTTCTGGCCTTCCCAGCAACGCTCTCCACGGTGCTGGAGCCTGAAGGTCCTGTCTCTCTCGTCCACCATGTGAGCCACAGCACAAGACACAGGGCTGGCAGAATCCTCCCAGCTGCCCAGCTTGCTCCAGGTCTCCCTGAGCCTGTGCCCGCTCTCTTGTGGGTGATCCTCCAGCTGCTCTCTCTCTTTCTCTCTCTCTCTCACCAGCCGCCCTTCTACAGCCAAGACGTGTCCCAGATGTATGAAAACATTCTGTACCAGCCACTACAGATCCCTGGGGGCCGGACAGTGGCCGCTTGTGACCTCCTACAAGGCCTTCTCCACAAGGACCAGAGGCAGCGGCTGGGCTCCAAAGCAGACTTCGTAGGTGACCTGCCAGCGCAGCACTGGCCCCTTGTGTGGCTCTCAGTTTCCTGCAGAGGCAGCTCAGAAGCACCTTAACATGTGTCCTCCAGCTCTTTAAAAACCAGACGCTACTAACTATTTCATTTGGAAATTCACTGCTGCTGCTAGCTGACTACTTTCTTTAGTTCTCTTGGTCGATTGATATTTATTGGGCACCTGCCATGTGCAGGTTATAGAGCTTAGTGCTAGGGATTCAATAGACTGGGTCTCTGCCCTTATTAAGTGTGGGGGTGGGGGGATGACAAAAAGAAACATTATATACCATTATCATAAAGTGTGACAAATGTCAGAAAGGAAATGAACAATGAGCTGAGATAGACAATGATGGGAGGGGGACAAATTCACACCAGTGTGATCAGAGAGGTCCTCTCTGAGGAGGTGACAATTAAGCTGAAACTTCAAGGATGAAGGAGCCAGTCATGCATAGAGCTGGGCAAAGGCACCCCAGACATAGGGCATAGCACATGCAAAAGTCCTGTGGCAGGAATGAGGAGCGTGATAAGCTTTAGGGGGTTTTGAGCGGGGGAGCAGCATGACCCAATGTAAGTTTTTAGAAGATTCCTCTAGCTTCTGTGCAGAGAGTGGACTGGACTTGCTTTTTACAAATATCTGAGCACTTCTTCCTTGCCAGATCCCAGGCTGGACACCTGGGATACAGAGATAAATAATTCATAGTCCGTTCCCTTAACAAATTCATTATACTTTTAAAGCACTTAAAGTTACTTAAAGTAGTACTTTAAAAATAATCTTACATTAACACCTGTGAAAGCAAAGGAAAAAAAATCTTACGTTCTTTATTCAACACAAGATAATCTGGATTTTTAAAAAGAAGGCCACAGTACTTTTTTTCCCTAGAAGTTTGTTTTCTTTTGTAGCATCCCAGTGGTTCAGATGAATAGACTATGACACGGACTCCCTGGGTTCACATCCCTCCTCCACCACTGTCTAGTTGCAAGACCTTGGGCATATTGCTTAATTTCTCTCTGTGAGCCTCAGTTTCCCCATCTGTAATAATAAGAAGATTGAATGAATTAACATACACAAAGCACCTAGACCAGTGCCGAGCACACAGTAAGTGCTTGTTGAATGTTTGTACCAAGAGCCCTGCATGCCACGCACTGTGAAGTGTGACATTTAGTGTGACGTTTGCCTGCCTATCCCTGGCCAGCTTAAAGAACAGGGGCTTCCATGAAGATAGGTCCCCTCCTTCCAAGTGGAGGTTT